AGGAAGGGTGTGGGGCTTGGAATCCGTGCCAAATGGACGCAATGACTTGCTAAAGGCCAGGACGGCTCCTTATGCAGCTGTATCCACAGTCTTTTTACGGAAACCAGCTACCACCCCATCTAAATATAGAATTTAGAGGGTCTACTTCCAACTTTTTTGCGTTTCGTGTCGTGAAACACCTAAACGGCGATAAACATAAAGAGGGACTTAGCGGTAATTCCTTTACGCCAAGTCGTATGACGAGATAAAATAACCACAAAGTAAAATATAGTTCCGATTATCAAAAAGCGATATCGCAATAACAAATCACTTGCATTAGAAGTAATTTGAATAGGCAAATACTTTATTTGCATGCCAACGTTTATTACCAAACTTACTGTATTAGCATCAGAATGCCATTGTTTTATTGAAGCATGCTAGTCGATTGTTTTTAAGATGATCATACTTTCGTAAGCAAAGTTCAAAAACTTTTGCCCTGAAATTAATTAATTGCAGAGCCATTTTGGGATTCGTATGGAAAAATCTGACATCTAATTATACACGAAATTTGGCGCAATATGGCGTTGGACCACATTGATGTTGATTTGTGCGAAAACTTGAACTCGCAAATTGCGATTAAATCGTCTAAGTATAATTTATCGCCGATCCAATGGACCCACTTTATTATTTAACTCCATTAACATTTAGCAGTACGTAGACTTGCCTATGCTCTGGGCTAGTTGAATAAATATTCGTTTATCTAGATAGCTCCACTAAACGGTATCATGGACATGCCAATCACCGGTTGTAAAAATGACTTTATTAATGGGTTGCACATGGTCGAAGTGAAACCGTCAGATGTCACAATAGAAATTGGAGCGGTTTGAATCAATCCCATATAAAACGTGTAGGAAGTCGCCACAAGTGCCACTGTCGAAGCAAAGTCACTTCTGTTAACACAACCGAAGCCAATGAAAACATTGTGATTTTGAACAAGAGCATAATGCTAAGTTCTAAAATGATTAAAAGAAATTAATCAAGGTTTTTGTAAGTGATGTCCTCACATACGTCTACTAATTGATTTGTGCAGGGTTATCTTGTGATCAAGATCACAAATGGTTATGTTGGTGATAATGTCAAGGAAGTATTCGGAGAATGCACTGCGCTTACCGAAAATGGATAGGAAATCGTAACTCCGGCACTACGGATTAAGCTTTTACTTATAACCAAAATTTACTGTTGCTAATACAAGTTTGCTTTTAAACACCATTGTGTGACTTGGATATCCCATAATACTGTGAAAAATGACAGCGGATCTCACGTAGTTGGCGCCATGACAGTCTCCACAGGGACTTGAATTACGGCAGCGTGCCTACGAGTGGATCCAAAGGTGAGTGCTGTGCTTTGTGTATGGCGGTGGACTGTTTTGCTGTTTGGTTCATGCCAGCCAACTATTCTGCATGAAAGTTAATTGCCTTATTCATAAATTGAATATAGACAATTACCGCCAGAAATGCTCACCACAAATGGCTCTATCTTATCCACAATTTATCCGCTCTACCAAGTATTCGGTATTTAAGCACTTTCGGATTGGAAAACCAAAAAACAAACCAATTTATCGACCTGATGAGACATTTTTTTAACCGAATGGAGACGTGAACTCGCCACGTATCCTAAGAGTTTCCGGATGAGGACTTAGCTTCAACCAAGTTTGTGCTGCGACACCAAAAACTGTTCCAAGTACTATATTTCAATTTGTTTTGATTAAGGATATTGGAAGTTAGCACAAAAAGCATACGTAGGCATCTATTACGAATGACATTTGGGCTGTGAACCTAGCTTAAACAGGAGAGGAATTGCTTTGAACTGCATAACCATTTGACACCAACACACAATGAGCATTAAACGCCGTACTTGAGCAACTTTTAGTGACGCAGTAATCGTCGGATTAATCTGGGCGGCGAAATCGGTCTCTCTAGTGATGTTTAGATAGGTAGGCCGTTGAGGACGCAGTTGGGCGGAGTTAGTTACGGGCGGGGGCTTGGTCAGTGAAATAGGTCTGCGACCTGCGTGCCGTCGACGGAGACTTTGCTGCATGCGCATTTTTTTCACGTAAAAAGAGCGTGCTCATCTTGCAAAAATTTATGGGCGACTGGATTAAAATGCATAACCAACGACTTTATTGCATATCAGACGTACTTTCTTGTCTCGCCATCTAAAAGATGAGTTACAGTTAGACTGTCGTGTAATTTAGGTAAAACTGGACAGCTTAACCGGTGACCTTAACACTAGGTCTTTAGCCATCTTTCACCTTAAATTTACGTTACTACCAAGGTAGACCATGGTAAAATGTTTTCATGCTAAAAATGATGTATCACCAAAACCGTTCATGATAAACAAAACATAAGCAAAGCGAAGCAAATGGCTCTTCTCAAAGCATAGAACAGAAAATAATTCTTTAAATTAGGTCAGCCTAGGAACTGTGTGGGTACAAAACTCTGAGAACCCTAAGGCAATGTGTACAACTAGCGACCATTGAACTACAGCAAGTCCGGAGATTCATTCTTAACAAAAAAAAGCAAAAATGAATTGCCTTTTTCAAACTGTATTTTCTTTGCGGATGCTGAAAATGTAATCTTGCTGTCAAAAAAAGAACGACTCCATAACTAGCGCAAACACGACCTGTCACCCATGGCTCTATCGTTGAAGTTATTTTCCTTGCCAATTCCTGCAACAAACGGCAAAGCAACAGTTTGCATCAGCCATGTTTGGGGGTTTATTAGCATACCTACTTCAAATGTGGCTGCCAGAGTTTAGCGTCTCTTAGTCAAGTTGAAGCTTAGTACTCCTAATAGAATGGATATTTTGGAGGAGAATACATAGCTCCAAATGGATCCCATCAAAGACAATGGGGGAAAGTAGCGCCCAACAGAGAAGACCCACACTTTTTTAGAGAGCTGCTCCAAACGAAAGTACGCGACAACTTTAGTTGTCACCTCAATTCAGATTAGCAGCGACGACGACCCAATAGGAGAAGGTACTAACTTAAAACTCCTCATAAGTTGTAGGCTTACATGTAGAAGAAAATGAGTGTTATGACTTCGCAACATACTTGACCTGGAAATGGCTCAGAAGCCCAGATGCAGACACACGTAAAGCACCGAGACACACTACTCAACTAGGAATGTAAACCAAGCTGACACTAGACGATTGTATCACGCGGACTCCGCTGGCAGTGAACACAACCCACTTCAGGTAAAAAAATAACACCTCGCCCTCTACGAAACAGGCCTCTGCCACCCGCGACCAGCCGATAAACTGTTTTGCGGTAGCAATAGACAAAGTACACGAATGAACTCAGGCAACGACGCCACGTGGATGATGAGTACGTAACCACAACTACATTTTCGAACGCCAATGCAGGCAGACGGGCCCGATGGATTGAATCAACCCCCACGGTGCAACACCACGAGGGTACTAAAGAATTCTTCACATTACCCATTGTTTCAGGTCTTCTCGAACGATTCCACCCAAAAGACTAGAAGATTTTAACACCTTGGACTGGCATCCTCCTTCGAGTGAGTTTTAAAGTCATGCTCGTTTTATACGGACATCCAAGATTCAACGTGCCTAAACTTGGCCGAAGGAGCGCAACCAATAATTGAGCAAGACGGAAGAATTTTGTTCATAATTGTCACCTCACACAAAGCCAAAAAGACTGTAAACTTCAAATGTACACAAAACACAGGGAACAGCACCCCCGCACATCCATATCTACCGCACACAGACAGACATGCACACAGCTCTCATCCCCACAAGGTTAGTTCCAAATACGAATGGGTTTCTCTGAAAGCACATATTTCCCCCCAGAAGGATTTGACTTCCTCTTCGCAGCCCCCACACCGGGATGCTGAGGGTGCAGATTGGAGGTGGACAGCAATGTCGCAGGAACACCTTTGTGGGGAACCATCGGGGACATGGGCATCTCGATGCCCAGCCACGGTCGCAAACCAAAGAAGAGCAGCGCCTTCTTCTCCCCACACCGCCGTAGAAGTGGCGCCGGCATGAAGGCGGCCAAATCGACTCGAGCCTCCTCCGCGCCTGCCAGCGTTGTGAGGTATTTGTAGGAGGAGCGCATTCGCAAAAGACTTTCTTGAGTCGGTGCCAATGGCACCATTGTCGCAGAATTGGGAGAGATGGGTCCGGAGAGGACGGCAAGACGCCACTTTTCCACGATTTCTGAACGTAGACCCAGATGGAGACGAATGCGGTCGAGGAGGCTGGATACAGGTTCGTTATGGCGCAAGACCATAGTGAAGGGGAGGAGACCTGTTGAGATGGCTCCGCTACCTGTATCGCGGTAGAAGAGACTGCAGACAACGGGTAGGGTGGAGGTTTCGTCGGGAGCCAGAGAGTCATGGACGGGAGTACTGGAGGGAGAGGAGATTTCGAGACCCAAGGATTCTGCTTCCTCATCGTGGTCACGATCACAAGAGTCCATAGTTTCGTCTTCTGCTTTGTCAGAAACATGGACTGAGGCGTCCGCAGATCGCACTAGACGTTGTGGAACTTGCATTTCACTTTCCTCCTCCGAATCGCGTTCTATGAACTAATGAAACAAAATGAACTCAAGTCAAAACACTGCTTGAGCGTGATTTGAATCCTCATAGAGTGAGCAGTGAAAAAAAAATCCGCAAAATAGCCTACTATCACTTCGGTTGAAGCAAAAATACTTTAACCGATAAAAATAACATGTGAATGCTTTTTTAGCATTTTGGCCATAATAAGGAGTATGAAGACGAACCCTAAATAGCTTTCTTTCCAAATCTTCACAAGCACAATTTAAAAACTGTATCCGCAAAAATACATAATTATCGTTGCTCGAAAAAACGAGCCCCTGTCCTCGGCGAAAAGCTAAAATCCATTACAAAAATTTACAGGACCTGATAGGGTCTTAGTTAGGAATATGAAAATGAGCATGAAATTGCCAGGAATATCGTAAAAAATGCACAATATTTATGCAAGAGATCAATGAGAATTAAAGCAAGCGGCATTGACCTTGAGTGGATCGTTTTCATCATCTGCTGCCTCGTCCTCCTCCTCATCGGCATTGCAAATGAGACTGAGGTTATTAGGGTCGGCGACACCGCTGCTAGATCCATCATCAGCCTCCTCTTCGTCATCCTCTTCTTGGTCTTCTACGCGCCCTGTGTTACTCGGTGTGTCCACCTCCTCTTCTTCATCCTCCTCATCGTCCTCTTCCTCAATGTTTACGTCGTAGTCCTCTTCCTCATCTTCCTCCTCGTCCCCATCCTCGCCCCTATCACCGCCCATCGGGGTGGGCACAGAGACGGCGGAGGATGAGGCTATTGAGGAGGGAGCAAGGGGGAAGCTAGGAAGGCGCAGGTTCTCGCCTTCCACGTCCGACAGGAGCAAAGAGATGTCAGACTGCCCCTCGTAAGCAGCAAAAAACTCCTGCTCCTCTGGTGGCATTACTTCTATCCGTAAAAGACGATTCTCCAGCAGCTGGCGAGGGAATGTTTCCAGTTAGTTGCCCATCAAGATAACTTACGTCATACAGCAGCCCCCAAGTAATTGGCTTTATTACTCATGCACTTCATGAGACACCAGTTGCTTAATGTCTTTTGAAAGCATAACTGAGTTATTGGACCGAAATTCAACGAGCTAAATTTAAACAACACCTCCATATGGGTCCCTCTGGTACATGAGTATGATCGTATTTTCTATGACATGCACTAAGTACTGAAAACGAGCCCGTAATTGCAAAAAAAACCGAAATTGAGTCGACAGAGAAAAAGCAAATTCGAGTGAAATAAAATAAAAAATGAGCAGTGGAATCGTAAATGCGATATTTAAAACATTTTTCTTCAATATGATGGGACTAGATAACAAATTAGAGATAAAACAAATAAAAAAAGCAAATGACGATTGACACCAGCATATGAAAAGCCAAAAGGATTCTCGACCTAACTGAAAAATGAAATAACCTACCTGGAGCCTCGCGGCAATTTCGTCTGATGGGTACTGCTGAATGATCCACGTATTGAGTGTTTCGAACATTCTGAGAACCGACGGTTGTGATGAAGCAGTTTCATTAGGAGAATCAAAGTTGCCCTCACCAAGGTCTGAAAGACAGCCTATAGAAATGAGCTCCTTCTTGGCCAACTGGAGCACTCGACTCACTGTCCACTGGTGTGGAACAATGAGCAGAAGACGCACCACTTCCCGCACCTTCCTGCTGTCGACGAAGACGCATCGCAACTGGCACATGCGCTCCAAACGCTCGGTAGGAATGGAAAGACGCTGGAAGAAGATCTGCACGGATGGAGTGAGCTTCCGTGTAGACGCGTGGTTACCTTTGTGCCGCGGTGGCGAGGGTGAATGCTGCACAAATATGTCCTTTGCTTTCCACTCCAAAGAGGAGGGGATCGCCGAAAATTCCCGCTCCCCACTCATGGTTGGACCGGTTGAAACAGTGAAGAGTTGGATACAGTTGGCCGGTGCTGAGAAGTGACTTGCCACTAGGGCAACGAGATGGTTGTAGGTTTCGTTTGGTGAGATAAGGCCAGTGAAAGCCGGCCCCTGAATAGAAGCTATGACCTGTTCAAGAAGGAGACTGGTCTTGAATGTTCCGCTGCCGCCACTGAGTGGTACTCCCGGAAGGAGAATTCGTTCTCCAATTGGAGGAGGAAAAGCTATTGCTGCCGCAGGCTCAACACAACGCAAACCGGGAAGCATATGCCACGGGAAAACTAACTCGTAAAACTCAACCGAAACACGAGTAAGCAGTTCATGATAGAAGCCCTTGACGAAAAACGGTGAGTACAAACTACTCCTGGAAGGCGTTGACACTGCCGGTGAAGCCTTTGAAGTAGGTTGCTTTCTGCCCACACCCGCAGAACAATTAAAATTGCCCCGAATTCCCCGATTCTCAGTAACTGGATAAGACCGGCAGCGCATCATTCGCTTGCTGCGAGTCAAAAGTTTCATGGCAGTAAGTCGAGGACGTGTAATTGGCTTTCGCTTCATTAAAATGAGGGAGCGTTTGGGAGACACAATAGGGATGGAGGATGGCAACGGCTTTGATTCTTCAGCAATTGGATCATCGCTATCCTCCATACTCTCTTCTTCCTGGTCTCTTACCTCCGCGTCTAACTCTTCATCAGATTGCGGTTTTTGTTGATAGACGAGGATAAACGTCTCCGTTCCGTCGTCAGTGCCTAAACTCACTCGAACGGTCGAGGTCTCAAGATGATGCGTCAGCGAGCGCAGTTCCTTCAAACCATTCTCCTCGAAAAGGAGCACGGAGTCATCCGCAGGAAGGGATGCACGCGAGCGCAGTTCAGGGAGAATGGAGTTTAGAGGTGCATCCAAATGAATGATAATCCAACCGACGTAGGTAAGAGTGCCCATTTGGGGGTTGGTGAGGAAAGGTGATGCGGTGAGAGTATTGGTGGGAGGAGGAAAGAAGTACTTGAGGAAACAGAGAACTTCGTTCCACGGAGAGAAGATGGTGGAAGTGAGGTGAGGTAGTGGAGGAAGAGTCTGAACCCAAACGGCCATTGGACCAGAAGCCGGAAGGAGGGGGACGGGCGGAGATGTGCAATCGTCGCCAATGCTAGCGGGTAAACGGGAGGCCTTCGAGGGAGACTTGGTTTGATGCTGGTAGGAATTGGTCAGAGCCGCAAGGGCGGCCATCGGGCCTTCTGTCGTGGGGAGGGGCGAGGGAGGCTTTTGTACATGGGATTTTTGCGGAGGTAATAGTGGAGTGAAGCGAAGCATCCCAGATCGCCTTAAGCGCAAACGGTGCATTTGTAGCATGGGAAAATCAGAGAATGACCTAGATGTAAGTCTACTGGGGAAAGTTGAGTAGCAATTTTAGTATGATCTACACACAACATCAAAAGAATACAGCCAAGTGGTAACAAACGCGACAGCGCAGGGCCCAAGTGTTACGGAATAGCACACACCTGGTAATGACTCTCCAAAGGCGAATGAGCGAGGGATCAGTTCGCAAGTGCGAGGCTACGATGGAGATAACCTCTGACAATGTGGACGTTTTTGGGACATTGAGTCGACGTGTAGGCAGTGTTTCGAAGTCACAAACATCGAAACCCTGTAAGGGTGCAGAGTATAACGAACGAATCAGACGCAAATGAGAAAGGTGTAAATGCGAACCTGCCAACCATAGAAGTCTTCGTCAAGAACGAGGAGAATGCAGGCGTAGAGGTGTGACTCCGCCTTGGCCCTGCGATGGTCCGCCTCGACACGCCGCTCCTCCTTGAGACGGGTCAGTAGGCTGTCAGGAATGTCTGCCGTCGATACGGGCTTGAGGACTTGCGGCAGAGAGGACTCCCGAATATACACCAGCATATAAGCGCTGGTACAACTTTTGTATAGGCTGCCATGCTCGTCATCCGAAGTGCCGTAGTTCTACAACACATCAAGGCATGTGGGCGCTTCTTTCCAATACACCCCCTAAAAGACCAAAACTACCCTGCCTACCAAATTGGACATAGATAAGAGAATTACGATGAGGATTTCGAGCGAGGATGCAAGTAGGCATTTATGTGTGAATAGAAATATCTACTAATGACAATTTCCTCATCTAGTACCATTAGCATGAATACAAACCCCTACTTTGACTATGGATATCACTGCCTAAGGTATACAACTGTAGGTAAATTTGAGGAAAGGAAGGTATGCTGAACTATTGGAATTGAGAAGGAACATACTAAGTCAATGGCCTCCCGGGGTGTAGACCGAGATACAACGTCGTCATCGAACTTGTACCATCGATTATTGCCGTAGGGATTGATGTAGACGACGTAGTGGCCACTATGATTGTCGCCCGAGTGCACCAGCACCGCATGAAGAATGTAGGTGGCGGGATCATCTGGATCCGTCGATCTGAGGAATGGGTCCAAGTGGAGGCGGTAGGGGAACTCAAAGCGGTCATTTACTTTGATATTAGCGTTCGTTATACAGTCATACTGGAAGCGCATCAATTGTAGATAGAGAACAGGAGGAAAATTGGTAAAAATGACACCTTTTTCTGCTTCCTGTAAACCGTATTCACCGGCATCATACTTGTTTTCACCACTCAGAGTTTCAACGGTCGTGTAATCCTAAAACAAGGGAAAAAGTGTATTCCAGCAGAAACTAACTATTGGAGGCTCAAGTGTCACGCTAGAAAAAATTATCCTAGTGTTTCCATCTAACAGCAGAGATGACACCTTTGTAAGCTTCCAGCAAAACGAATTTTCGGATCATTTCGTAGGTTCAAAGCAAAAATCGCATTAGATTTCGCGTACAGTAATAAGGACACCAATTTGAGAAAATAACGCTACATGAACAATGACAACTGGCTTTAGTCGACGAGCGAAAGCACCGAAAACATGAACGCTTTTATAAACCGGAGAACTTACTTTGAATGCTTGATAGACGTCTCGATTCCCCTTCACCTTGAGTTGAATATCATAGAAATTTTCCTCTCGTTTTGACTCATAAGGCACGTGTTTGCAACAAATGTAGGAAAGCATTTTTCCACGAAATAGACCAGGTATTGTCTCCTCCACCGAGGTCCCCTTCATTTTGTTTTCCATGTTATCCAGCAGGACACGACAAAGCTCCTGCACGTCATGTTGCATTAGAGACTCAAAAGACTCCCAGCCGAAGCTGCGTGTCAGCCGTTTCGTGCCCACAGCGCGTTCATTGAATTGCAGCTCGTAAAAGACGCGCTGGAGGGCAAGTGGAATGCTTGTGCTCGCGTCGTCACTTTCTGTAGGCATCAGGAAGACAGCACGACGCAACTCATTGGTGAAAAAAAGCGCCTGAAGCAAAGAATTCATATAGCATGTGGCACCCTGATTGCGTAGACCCACGAAACCCGTGAACTTCTTCGAATCCCAGTCTGCACCATGTGGGGCGTCCGCATAAACTTGAATTCGAAGAACGAGGGTATCGCGCTCTAAGGACTGTACAACCCTCTTTACAGGCGATGATCGCCGCCGTATTGGAGAAGACAAAGTTGTAGAGCAGTTACGGGGAAGAGAGGAAGAGCGTCGATACTTCCCTGATGGCGATCCATTGGACAAGATATCTGAGGATGAACACGACCTAGTAAGGGGCCGTGATAATGAGACTCCCCTTTCGTCCTCCTCCTCTGCCTGTAGCAAATAAATAGGAAAGACAGATTAAGACTGCTACATGGGTCGTCTTGAGGGCATTATTTGCAAAGGCCGATAGACAAGTTCACTCACAGTTGGTGGCTCCAGCGGCTCCCCCTCGCATTCATCCGCTACAGGTGGAAGAACCAATCCACGCTCTGGATCCAAGAGTTCAGACAAGGAGATGAAAGAGGAGAAGCCCCAGTCGTTCTCCTTTAAGCAGAAGGTATGGTCGATGGATTTGGTGAGCGACTCGGCACCTGGTCGCTGGGCGACGACAGTGAGTCTGGCCCGAGCGTGGCAGGTCCAGGTTGGCAAATCGCACTCGGCGTTGCATTGAAGAAAAAAACCGACAGAACGACTCCCGCCCTGACAGCCACGAAGTAAGAAGAGAATCCGCCAGGGCAAACAACGAATAATAGTCGCCTTGGGACTAACAAGCTAGACAGGAAGCATGTTCTGTTAGTGCCAATTGTTGCCAGTGAAATGAACCACTCACGTACGACTCCTAATTTGCCACATAACTTAAAACACACCGAAATGTATAACAAATCAGTTACCATTTTAGCCTAGTGGAGGACCCTTAAAAAAGGATAAAATAAACATGGTTGGGATCTATCAATAATGGCTTAACTACCCCATCATCCCCCAAAGTTTGAATGGAATAAAGGTAAGCTAATGATGAATATGAAAACGGAAAAAAAACTTACCTTGATATCCTCGGTTACATTCTGAAATACAAAATATGTACGACCGGTTAAACGAGGGTTAAAGCTTGGATGAAGAAACACAAACCACAGAATTGAATCGTAAAAACTAACCTCCATACAAATCTTACTGATATTGCGGATGTGGAACTCGAGTTTGCCCGAAGGCCCGGCCTCATCATCGTAGTTCCCGTCGTCATCCTCCTCGGAGTGATCAGTTAGATTTTTCTGACGATCCTCCTCCTGAGGGCTCAAATTCAACTGCAGAGGTAGTGGTGGTGGGGGCCGAGGGTTAAGCTCGAAATCCGCACCGCCAGTGTCCTATACAAGGAATACATACGTGGGGCACATGTACACAACCTGAAAAATTCAGCCAGAATGGTAGGAAGCACGGAAAAAAAGGGTGACAATGTCGGAAAGTCGGCAGAGCTAACGAGCTTGCTCCCAGGGAAATTTCTTTCACATACCTCACAAGAAAAGCCGGATAGGTGAGAGGCAACAGAAGCCGGTGATCTTAAAAAATGGCATTAAGTACTATCAGATTAGGCAAACGGTAGTGCTTGACCAAAATATCTGATACGCCTAAAAGCGATTAGTTTTACCCAGTGGTCGAATTAGCGAAACCTCACGGATGCAGACTTACAGACTATTCGAGGAAGGCATCAAGGGCACGGAACACTCGCTACTGCACAAGACTAATTTGTAAGATAAATTCACTGCACTCAACTCAAAGAGGAACTCAACACGTATCGAGCGCGAGCAGAACTCACGAACGGCCAATAAGCGGCGGTCAAGAACAATCTGGTCAGCAGTGCTCACAGTTAGCCTAACATCACCTTGAGCTGAATTATTTAGTACAAAGGAAAGACTGAAGAAGCCCAGTAGAAATGTGACGAAAAGGTCTCATCTTTGGTGCTCACTAACAGTCTTCGAATTGCACCAAAACACGCCGCAGGACACCGAAATGTGCGGTCCTTCCTCAGCTGATCATTTGGATTGATATTTATACGATGTTCAGATAGTGTACTTTTCAAGCAAATACTCGTCTTTTTGATCGTTAGCCTTTTGGAGGGCTTATAATAGCTTGCTAGATTACTATGAAACGTAATAGGGATGCTAATAACCTTCCAAAAAAGACAAACGTACAGAGAAGAATTAGAAAATATTTTATCAAGAGAATGAACAAAATTTACATGTTGAATGACAACAGGCAAACTGGTGAATTGAAAGGGCTAATCAAATTGCGCGGAAATTACCTTATCGAGAAAGAGGTTCAGCTTGCGACGTTTGGGACCATTTTGTTGGGATGGCGATACGGTGTGATCCCCCATCTGTCCACTCAAACGTTCTACTGGAACGATTCGATGGCGATCAACTGGTCGTGGACTTCCATGCACTTCGCTTACTTTTTCTACGTTACTTTGCATTCAATGACCTATGTAAGTTTGTCAAAGATCAGAGATTATGAGCCACTAGGTAATGCCGAAGGTCTACCACAAATAATAAAAGTTCACCAATAACAAGCCTTGCACCACATACGTGGACGACCGTAAGGTTCCATGATTGTGTAAAAAAAAATTTCGAGTATGCTCTCAAATAAGGGGGACGCAAAGTATCTGCTTGGCTATATCAGCACTTCCAACCAAATTGTAGGACGAAGAAAGCCGATTCTCATGGAAGCAGCGGTTCAATAGCTATCACCATAGCCCGTAATCAATAAAATCTATCTTCCTTCACATTCAGCCAAAAATGCACAATAAATAGAGGCAGTTAAGCAATGTTGCACTCATCTCAACCACAGAATTCTCAAAAAAAATAACGAAAGAACCCCGATAGTGAGGTGTTTGTGAACGACATATCAGGAGAATTGCTTTCCGATATCAACGCGCTTAGAAACACTTTTCAGCAAGGAATAAACATAATAAAAGATGTTTAGCAAGTACTAAGAAGCAACACTGTGAACGACCCGTAGGACACACTCAATAGTCATCTAGGGCAGTAAATAAAGGCATGTATTCCAAAGCCAAAGTAGAATGTAGGAAAAAAGACACTCGAGCAGAAAATCTTGTCAATACTTACAAGACAACCCAAAAACCCCCTATTCTCGGGTCGCTTTAACCGAGCCCGAAACTAGACTAACGCCAAAATGGCCAGACACCTCGGATTTCCAATAAAGTCATTAAGAAAATGTGAGCTAACCTAGTCATCGATAAATCCCACGGTAATCCCACTAATACTTTACAAACACACGCAAAAAACAACTTCTGCAAAAAATCACACCTGGAGCGCAACTGTTAAGTAGCAGAGTAAAACGCAAAAGGACGAAAAGGCTGTAATTTGCACATAAGCAAGATTTGCTGTGCTTTTTATTTAGATTTAATCCATAAAACAAGCTGTTTTAATGTGAGACAAATTCAGCGCTTAATAACAAGCGTGGGGTTCATCAGTTCACCCGATGTTAACAATTATTTGCTCCTTTAAAACAATTTGCAGGGGAATTTTGCTGCTGTTAGACCTTGTCATAAAAAGTTAAAGCATTACGTAAAGTAGGGCATTAACTCGTGTACAGTTTCTGTAGAAGATCTAAAAAGTCAACAAACATGACTGAAAAATAGATGCTTGACTTGGCGCAGAAACAAGCACTTGAGCCTATTATGCAGCGCTTACAGTACGTTTTTTAAGCTTTATGTATTTGTAAGAATTACTTAGCCGTTGCACAGTTGGTTATCCGATAGGTGACCTGGTCTATAGGCCGTGTTTGCAATCCCCTAAGTTTACGAAACACAGTCATTTCACATAGCATGCCCATTTGCCTTTCTATAAATTTTGGGTTGCTATATTGCATTCTAAATTACTTCAAAGTATACCCAAGCCCTTGATTAAGCATTAGCACAAAATTGCAACTAAAATAAAGGGGCTAGCTTTTATTTGCCTACGGTATTTATAGCATTTTTTACAGTCTAATTTTAATTCAAAATCTATTCCCCTTCTACCTACGAACATACCCATAGCTTTTAGATTTTTATTAAAGTTGCATATTTTTTGTCATTGACTTTTACTAATTGTAATAATCCGGCACTTGAAGCATGAAAAAATTTAGTGTTTGTTTCATTGACCTGACAGCATATTACTAATCTTAATTCTCAGTCTCATGCTGTTCTTCCGTGTATGTTGGTATGAAGGGCTCTTTTTACTTTATTTTTGGAAAGCTGTGTCGGTATAACTTATTTTATTGCAGAATAATCGTAACACCTACTTCCATCTAATGTCTTTTTCGAGTAGGGCACTGCTTTCCTCTAAAATAAGTACCTTTCTAAATATATTGAAGCTGGGCCTACGCCCTCCTGGCTTCTTTTTCTGAAGAATGGGTTGACATGTTTTTGACTAGTCTTTGATTCAATTTTAGATTGCTTTGACCTTTGAATTTGTTAGTATCATGTTGTACGTTGCCAAATTTATAGTATGCAACGTTTTCAGGTATTTGAGGACAGCTACTTTTGCAACACATATTTCCATCTTTCTGTAAAATTTGGTTGCGTTTGTTATACACGTGAAGATGTTTTTTCTATTCATCTAGCCTAATTTTTTCCGAAGATCGATATTTCCCTCTCCTCAGGTCCCTCTTAAACGATGGCATCCTGATGTGGGAAAGATTAAATTTTGCACAAGGATGATACATCGTGCATTGTTGGCCAGACTCTTTACACTACGTGAGTCGGCAGGTGCCTTATTCAGAAGATTTGGTGGTATTTATCGTGCCGGATGTTTCGGTTTTCATCAAGACTTCGCAGCTAGCAGAGGACAGAGAATTCTTCTTGCCACGTGTCTCATATCATTTGTTCAGGATTCTATATCTGAAGATGAGATGATGATGTGGGCTTCCTATCCTCTATTTAAATTTACCCCTAGGTTTTCCCCAGAACCGTTGAGACATTTGATGTCACGAAGTACAATGAACTTTCGAAATTTGCTCAAAAGTCTCAACAGAAGGAGGAGGGGAACAGTCCTCAAGTGGCGCAACAACCGATTGAGCGTGCATACAGTAGTCTCGAGAGTCCTCTCACCTTCTACGTCCGCGATCTCCGGCAGCTCTTGCGAGAGAGACAGCATGAGTTTTTTAGAAATCTCTTTGATCCTCAAAAGGACGAGCCTGTGTCTTCCAGCGATGGTGCAGAGACACCACTCGCACCAGCGTCGTCGCCTCGTGGGGTGGTGCTCATGGACCTCTCCAGCCGTCTTTCTGCCGACGGCACTGGGTTTGTGGACTCTGCGTGGGAGTGCATGATTGATCGGCCTGATCTGCGCATGTGGCGGCGACCTTCATGCAAGACCTCGAATAACTCCAGCAAGACTGCCATTGGTCTCTACGAATACAGGGGTGCGTGAACCTTCATTGGTTGTATTGTGCTATTTGTGTGCCTCGATGGTTTCATTCGGTGGATCTGATGACCTTTGTATTTATAACGTTCCTGAATAATGAAATTCACTTGGATTATTGGTAATTTACTCGTGATTTTCAGCTCAAAACTTTATACTCTTGGATTTAACACTTTAAATGTGCTAGATATTCCTATTATTTCTGATGCTTTGAACGATAAGGGAGTCCAAATCTTACTCTATGCCTATTGTTCATCAATATTAGCAGTTACATATAGTGAATTTCTCATTTTTTGTTTCTAAGCCATAATTATTTGTTTCAACGTATTTTCTGCCTCATTATGAGAAGTTTTAATCCAAGGTTTTTATTGAATTATAGTTTTATGTGCTATGAGGCAGAAATACATACAATGAAATTTTAAAGTTAGGTAGCTATAACAACTAGAACATTTTCACGATACTACCGTAACTCTTGGCGAAATTGAGGTGTGATATTTTATCAGTCGCTGGCATTATTATTCCATCCTTTGGGTGATAAGTTTGACAGCCAGGAGCTGTGGGTGGGTAAAAGCTTCGTAGTTTGTTTAAAACAGAGGTAAGGGTTACCCTTATACGCTTAAATGAAACTGCATTAAAGCTGGCAAAGCGACTAAACAGAAATGCATATACAGGGCAAATATTGGTTAGAAAAGCTACACAATCATTAGTAGAGTCTGAAGATATACTGGCAACAGATGTGGATACTGGGCTTATTAAATCCCATCCAGCCCCAATATTTGCCTTCTTTTGACGCATTTGTTAAAGAATTGTCCGCGTCAGTAAGTTCTCTCATCACTCGTCAGGGGTCACACACCGCTGTCATTAGAACTGCACCGGAAGCCATATTTTTGACAAGCTAGCTATTAAGATAGAGCTCCTGGCCTCCTTTAGCATCCATACATTATACCCTTAATGTGCATGAAGAGAATAGAGCTAATGTTGGGGAATAGGAAAAGGCAGTGCCTTCAATGAGTCGGTTAGATAGCGAAGAGAGGAGTGTCCTATGTGCGTTGAGCAATCCACGACTTTCCAATGGACACGGTATTCTTCTTGCGGTCTGCCTCTTCTGATCAGTTGATGCTGCGTGTTATATTGCTGGCCTCACAGCCAATGGAAATGGATGTGAGCATTTGCTTATTTGATGACCATAATTTAAACGCAATGCACTGGAACGTGATTAATAGTGGCGCACTTGCGTATTGTCCACTCACAGGAATGATCGCGTGCTGTCACATGTCCAGGCGACTTTTAGTCTTGTGAACAAAACGTAGTGATAGGATGGAAGGAGATTGAAAGTAGTGGGTACTGGGAACATTATGAGGTATTACTTATTTCCAGTTGGTAAAGCCTTACAATTGGTAGATAAGCTTGTTATTTATATGGGAATCATGAGTTTGTGGAAAAGTTGCCTTGTACCCATGTTATTAAAAAGTGTTTTCAAATTTTCCGGTGATTGTGTATTGATTATATTTTTTGTCCGAAAATCCAACATTTTGATATCAAAGTGATTATTTAACTAAGAATTTTACAGATGTTCACTATGTGCAAAAACATAGTCAAATAGTAATTAACGGAAGCACCTAAACGGACTGATCCACGCATTTAATCAGTACTTATCTAGTTCGGTCTTTTGACAGATTTTGTTAGGTGCATTGGTGATAATGTTTTTGAATAAGTTTTAGTGAACACTATCAGGCCTTAATATCACCTTCTTTGTCTTATGCCCATCCACACTGCACATCAACCTCCATTTCAAAAAAAACAACGATTTAATGAATTCTTTGTTTAGCTCAGTGATATGGCCTTCTCGATAGGCAATAAAGTGGTGTGCATAATTTCCTTACAACGGATACAACCACTAGATAACATTGAAAGTGCGGGATCTTTAGGATGGGTTCCATACGTGTAGGAATTATTTTTCGATTCCTATAGTTATTTAACCTACTTGATGCTGCATTTCCTTTTGATCAACTTCACATTCAGCGTTGATTGCACAGACTTTTTCCCGAATATTAGCAACATCTGAGGTTTTTACGCTTCTTTTATCAGTAATTCTTCTTTGTGCTTAGTACTTTGAGGTCATGGTTCCGCTGGAAGGTGGGATTGTGTAAAGTTGGAAGTAGAGTTACGATTTATAATTGCAGTTTTTTCTTACAATTCTAGTGTGTGGCAGTTTCAGTGACATATCAGCGCGTTGTTTTTTGGAAGTGCAATTGAATCTGGCTTATCGGCGGCACTGGGACAAGAGCGTGGTGGTGTTAGAGTCGAGAAAAAGCGCAAACGCGGCAGGGTCGGAGGTGATTCGGTGGGTGGCGCGCTTCCCCTTCCCTCTGGCGCGTCGCGAGTACATCTATGCACGACGCTGGTGGCTCACCACCGCTGGGATCGGGGGCCAGGCCTTCGCCCTAATCGTTTCGCGTGTCGGCGATACACGATTTAGAGACTCTACTGCTTCCACCGCTATGGTATCACAGGACAACAGCGAAGAGGCGCAGTCAGGTGGCGGATTGGTGCTGGTGCGCTCGTACGAGTCCAACATGCTCATTCGTTCTCACGGCAGCATTGACGAGGTATGGTCTTGATTTGTGGACGTGTTTTATATTTATCCGTACTGAATGGCGCACGAACGCCTACTCCATAATGCGAAAAAAATTCTTTTAAATAGGGTAGTTTCACTAACGGGTCTTAACTCAAAGTCTGCAACGTATCTATTTTCATTAAGTCTGGGACATTGGACTTGAAATAAACGAGATTTTTTGTTAATTCGTACGTATGAGGGACTTGGTTTTGTTTTATGGTATCCAGCCGTCTTCGTTACAGTAGGGTAGAACGCTTGGCACCTAAATATGGATTCTAGGCTTGAGCAGCAAGTGTGGAGATGGCAGTGTGCTAGTTTGAATTTGTGAAGCTAATGAAGCAACAGAAAATATATGGTCCTAACGGTATTTTTTTCATCTACGCAATTAACATGCTCACTGGATGGGAAGTAAGATCTGAAGCAAGATAGCGCCTCCATTGACTCTCATTCGTAAGACTCTGGCTACGTTTCTGATTTCTTGGGATTCACATGCACAACTGTGTAGCTAGCACAATATGACTGCGAACATGATGTTATCTTATTTGAGGCCACACGATGGCCGTCGAATAGCTAATCACACCATTTGAACATTAAGTTTGGATGTGCGGAATTATGCAGGAGCACCCTAATGAATAATGATATTGAAAGGTTAATTTGGCATTTACCTATCGTACTCATCAAAAAACTTGTTTCCAGAGCTCTTGGTGGGCCATTTTCTCGGTTTTCGTTTCGATTTAGCTTAATTGCCTTTTTTATTTGCTGCTAATACCAGTTTTGTGATGAGGGCGAACACACCACTTTGATGTCTTTTAGCCGGGATTGGATTACTTCCTCATCTATTTCGACGATCCACAACTTGTCTGCTCCACAGAAGCTGCAAGCCGTCTTTCTTTGACGGGTAGGTTTTCCACTTTAGTAGTTCGAACTTGTTTAAATTCGCAAGTAGCTATTTTGTTTTTTTATGGCTATCGTACTTTACCAATGAAATCATCGGTAAGGGGAACATTTTGAAAAGATCCTAAATGTCTAAAGCAAATTGAGCAGGCGTATTGTTACCCTTACGAGGAAGGCAGATCGGCAGATGATTTGCTCTGGTTGCTAAACCTCATGCCAGTCAGTCGTAGATTTGGTGCAGGGTGGTACCAAAGCCATCAAAAATGTCCAACATTGTGGACTTCGTTAAACATGATTACAAGTTTTCGTAGTTCACAAGGTAATATGAAAATATTTATCTTGTCTCAAAGGTAACGACGTCCCCAGGTGCCCTTGGATGTTTTTCCTCTGGGTGAATCTTTTTTAATTTACACCATAATTATGGCTAAATTACTACACATACGTTCGCAATAAGTACACGATAGTGTAGCTTTGACTAACACCCAAAAGCACGTCTGTATTCATACGATTTAACATCTTCTCGTAATTGTCCTGAGTTTATTGGTAGCTAAGCTGGTATTATTATTGAGCTATTAAAAAGTTTGTAATGATCCCCACTTGATCGCATTAATAATTTTAACTGTTTTAAAGACCTCTTCCCTCTCTAAAATTTACCTAGCAAAAGTTAGGTACACTAATATAATACTTTTTTCATGGGGAAATGATCACTTTCCTTCCTAGTGGAGCGAGTGTACACTTCATGCTTTTCTTGTCTACTTTTTTTCTCAAAAGTCATCCCTAGATTACTAGACAAGCTGCACGACGCCGCACTCAATATCTCTACGAAGGGCCTGCCAGACACCGTTCCTCCAGTAGTCCTCCCCTCGCGTAACCTTATCCAATCGGAGGATGCCACCTTCGTCACCTCCAAATCAAGCATAACTCGTAACCCTTTCACCTCGGAAACAACGGCGACCCCTGTAGACAACACGTCGTGTGGCATTACCACCAGCACCACCACCACTCCATTAACACCTGAGTCTGCCGAATTTTTTTTCCACTCCTAGCTTCTCCCACTTCGCCCACTGGTTAAAGCCTTTGTCAAGAATAGAATCTGTTTTCATTTTTTGCTCCAATCTTTACTACTACTTTACTTCAATCTTTACTACTTCGGTCAGCCAACCAGCCACCAGGCCTTTGGGTGCCCTACGCGCCCTCCATTGGAGACTCATTCACAAACTACAGTGCAAACACAAAGACCTTGTGTGCATGCATGGATCTGTGTGTGTCAAAGCATCGCTTCTAGGCGTGAACTGTTATCAATTTCTTTCCTTCCGGTTCTCTATTCTCATCTGTTTTGGGAACGAGATTTCACAGAAATGTAGATTGTTTTAAGTATCATTCATTTCCTCACTGGAGTCTTAGGGAACGGTATTGCATGACTATCGCATGTGACAGCATTGCCCTCTTCCAACTGGTCATTTTGCCTGAATGTCTTGTCGTTTGAGCACTCAAGATGTCTATATGCAGGATTTGAAGGGTAACTGGTTTGAGACTGCATAACTTACAGATTCTCGGTCACCGTGTTCGGGTCCTTCTTCATAGCTTTAAGATATTCGAATAGAATCCCGACATCTTCGAGTTGCCGTGAGTTTTTCCCGGTTAAGGTCGATTTATTGTTCTAGAGAAAAGATGAGACCGTGTTCGTACTTGGACATTGTTGATCCTGCATGGTGCACGAAGGAATCCAGTATTATCAGCTAAGGCTCACATTGTGACTGAAGGTATCTCCTAAATGGACATTTTATCACGTTCTTGTTGTTTCTACAGGTCGGCCCTAGCTGACATTGACACCCGAAAATTGCTTGACCCAGGGTAAAATTGGCATTAAATGTGGATGCCATTATTCGCGCCTGATTTATAAAGAACAATTAACACCATTTTAATAGAGGTTTTCTGCTGTCTATTTAAACTTCCGACGAGTACGATTACACTATCAGCGATTTTAAGAACGATTCTATGCCAGAGACCCAATTCAGCTGGTATTGCGATGTTTTCGAGCCCGTTTGCTTACGAGAAATGTCACACAGCATTCTAGGTAGCAAACCGCCTGCTTCATCATTACTGGACAAAAATCACTTTTACGGAATTAGCTGAGTGATTACCTGCTGCAGGTATGGTGGACGCAACCAAGAGTGCAGATTTAACCAGCGGCCTACAACAGCAGCTAAACGCATCAAAGAATACCCAACTTTGAACAGGAATGCGATGCCTTTCCAGGGTCAGGCGTTTGCATTGGATAAAAATGAGAGTACCTCAAACCAATCATGATTCATAACCCCTGTCGCAACAGATAAAAAGATGATTCTAACAGCACCAAATTACAAACTCTCCATGCGCCCCCATCACCCCAGTAAGTCAGGTGGACCAGCACTGATGATTTGAACCGTCACACCACCCGTGTAGTAAGCACCGCCGAAGAAAAAGGCAATCGCAGATAAGTTCATCCAAGATATCTTCTTTAAGTAACTGGCTTCTCAGCGTATTGGCCTCATTTTCTATTACAAATAACTATCCACCAAATTCACTATTAGGTCAAATGAGTTTAAAAAACGCCGTTAATTACTTCCACCTTGTCACTACAGAGTTGAAAAACGACTATCTACTGAACTAAAAATCTGTAATTAGGTTGGTGAGTACAACTGTACAGAGGGGTGGGAGGGGGGGGGGGATAAAAAGGCACTATGAAGCCGGCGAATTTTCTAAGCGTCCCAAAGGAGCAAAAGGCGGTTAGAGATTGCTTTCCGTCTCGCGACTGTAGCCTTTCAAAAAAGGTCTTGCATATCTTCTTCATATAGATCTTCCACTGGCGGCTCACTAAAAATAAAAAGATCTTCAAGTATGCGTTCAGATCTTGTTAGTGACAGGTGTCGTGTGACCAAGGTATGGATAATGATATACAATAAGAAAGTAGCAAAATAGTAAAACGGTGAATCTACGTCAACACAAAAGCAGTTCTTTTCCGAAATGAAAATGGGCCAGTGATTCAGAGTCCCAAAACCGCGAATCACGTGTGGGCCTCGTTCACATGATAGGACATGGTTACAAGTTCTAATCACTAAAAACTGGCCCTGTACAATTTATGCTTAACCGAAGAGTGCAATTACATTGGTAATTTCACAAACCACACCAAGTTGCACAAAAGACTTACTTTTGCACACAAAGTGAAAAGAATAGGATGCGCCTTAGGCTACGATTAAAGAAGAAGTAGTTGAAAGAAGCAAGACTTCGCCCACTGTATGGGTCCGTTGAGTGATTCGGCTTGTAGCTAACAGGAAAAAAATGAAACCAGTTACTTTTTGGCAGAAATCAACACTCAAATGGTTAACAAAGTACCAATGCATGCTGCAGCTGAATCTTTTCCAAATGATAACTTGGTGTATCACTACGGAAATGATGTCTCTAAACATTAATCATACATGATTAAAATGTGGCTAGCAACTAGCTAAAAGTCCAAGTTACAGTTGGCTAGGCAAGTTCCACTTGGCCAGACTTTACAAGGGTGGTGATTAGGCATGATTTGGAAACACTTCAGAGTATAAGAATGCCACTACAGAAAATTGAATGAGCAGGTTTCGGAGGCAATTTTAATTTCTTACCTGTAGATGACGCATCTATGAGGCAAAATCTCTACATCAATCGCATTCCACAACTTCGGTGCCAGAGCCTCATATTTGTCCACGTAAATTGAACATAAACGAGAAATATAATTCCTCACAACCTAAAAAACGGTTTCAAAGACACCGACTGAGATCTTCCAACACGAAAAAGAGAACAAACATAGGAAACGTAAGCAGAATTGAAAATATTGCGAATACAAGGGTGATGGCATTAATTTATGTAGGGAAGTACGGGCAATAAAGAACAGGAGACATAATACAAGTGAAAGCTCGTTAATAACATCATCGGTGTAGCAACAAAATTTTAATCCGTGTGTCCATAGAGGAAGTATTTCCTTACTGCTAGCTCCGGCTCAAGGCAAAAATCCTCGCTGCTTGTATTCATGAAGTCGTAGGTGGAGTCGAAAGAAAGGGTAATGGTGCTCATCAGGCAAAAAAGTTCCCTTGCAGAAATGAAGGGATGTGGAGGCTTTGGCTGAGAATCAGCACCATCCCCCTCAGAGCAACACGACGTGGTTCGCGAACGGCTTGAAGACTGAGGATTGGCATCAGTCTTTAAGAAAACATTAAAAATCCAATGGAAATGTTGACCTTAATGGCTGAAAAGAATGTCCCGAGTGAGAGTACCTCAGCTTGAGAAGTGCTCATTTTGAAGGTCTCGCAGTCAAGAGTCTCACCAGTCAGTTCACGAAAACCTCGAAGAGTTCGTGAGGAACTCAATTTCAGATATGATTCCTGCAAACCTTCGGCTTCTAGTCTGGCAAGCAATTTCTTAAATTGACGTTTCTCTTCTGTCACCATTTTGCAAGAGTAACTTTCCAGCCTGTGAATTTTCAAAGTAAAATTTGGTTTGTTAGTTTTGATGAATCACTAGTTAAGCTAAATGTTTTACAGACTGCAAAACAAACACAAGTAGGTCATAAAGCTGCTCAGTTGTTCATCGAAGATTATCCAGGTATTTAAAGAATCTATGCTTATTAGACGCAAGGCAATATAGCTTTAAATAAATAAAACCTTCGACGATTTCACACTTACTTGACATCGAGAGCGTACCTCCGACTGCCGCGTGAAAGCTGAACAGTGAGCGTCTCGAGTTCTAAGTTGTCCAGCAATTTCATCAAGCACCAGTTAGATAGATTTGGTCCTCCTACTTCGAAAGTGTATTGAAAGTTGAAAAACAAGAGCGAGCGTCACTATGTAACAAATAAGCATAAGAAACTCCGCAAACAACCAAAAAGACTAAACGAGAACTTCAAACTTGTCTACACCCAAAGTTCAAAAAGGTGCCGGCAAGCCAAGTAGTTAAAACATGCTTTCCAAAGTATGATACCCAGCGTTAAAAAATTGCTGAAACAACCACATGTAAGTATAAAGATTTAAAAAACAAAATTACAAAATCGTCTGCAGCTCAGCGTTACTTTGGTCATAATCACTGTTGGCAACCGAAAGTAAATGGGATAGAGGAAAACACATGCCTAATAGCCAGCTGATGTTTCTCATCTGCGCGTACGATACATGCAAGACATTTTTGCTATGCAATTTTAAATGTTTATCTTCTGGTAATTTAGAGTAGGTGAAAATTCGGGAAATTTGTAGCTTCGATATCGTTCTCAGGTTTTGCAATAGATGACCCCATTAAGCCGCAAACAAATCGTTGAGGCAAATTACATTTTTTTTAGCTCTAAAAAGTTGCAGATGTTCGGCAGAACATATACTGCTGGTACACATAAGTGTAATGGGATGGTGGTTTATCCCTCGGTACTGGTGAGGCACCACTTTTGAACCTTTAAACTAGCCTTCTTGTACCTCGCTAGGTGGGCTGGCCTTTGGGCCATCCCAATAGCCTAAACACCCTCTCCGTGCTGAATATACATATTCGACCCGAGTATTGCGTCTTCTCTTGCCCGCGTAATCGGAAGCAAGGTTGAATATCGTAATTGCAAGGGTTCAAAATATTGTTCTTCAGGTTTCCGTTCATCTGCAAGATTTTAAGCAAACTTCCCGTATTAGAATGGCTTCATAACGCACTAAGCTGAACAGCAAAGCATTTTCGTTAAATTTGAGGCGTCAAGAGGAGTTGTGGTTACATCTTAATAGCATTGCAATGCCAAAACTTAACAAATTAACAGAGAAGTCTATATATATTTCTATCTCTTTAAAGCAAGGATATGGGCCCTCTTGAATATTTGCATAAACAGCTTAATGCGCTAAACTTTTAATTTTTTTAATTCTCAGGAATTAAACAGCACGTTTTGATCTTCTTTTTTTATTAGTTGCTTTTAACGTGCCGGTTAGTGCAGCGCTATCCTGAAGGCCGGGTCTGATCCCTCAGGTGTTGGATTCCGGTTTTTTATACGCACTGGAGTTCGTTTTAAATAAACCTGCTTTTTGAACCATGGGCAAGGCGCTTTCCAAGTTATTTGGAAATAAGGAAATGCGGATATTAATGTTGGGTTTAGACGCTGCGGGAAAGACTAGTAGGACGACGTTTTTATTGATTTACCTTCCAGCTATTCTTTATCGACTAAAATTGAATAACGCCGTCACGACTATTCCAACTGTGGGATTTAATGTTGAAACCGTTTCTTATGATAACATAAGGTTTAATGTTTGGGTACGTTGTTGGTTATACTTTACTGTTTTGTTTTAAGGATGTGGGCGGTCAAGAGAAAATACGTCCTCTGTGGAGACATTATTTTACGGGAACACAGGGTTTGATTTTTGTGGTAGACAGTGCTGATAGGGAGCGTATTCGCGAGGCTCAAATTGAACTTCATAGAATAGCGAACGATCGTGAGATGCAAGATGCTATCATCTTGGTATTTGCTAACAAACAGGATCTTCCTAACGGTTAGTTTACATTCCTTACTTTTCCGCTCCGAGTGGGTCATGGCACTTGCTATGATTGCTAAGTGCCCTGAATTATTCTTAGACGTAGTGGTTTTTCGTGCACCCCTTATATTTCATTGTTTACTTTGGATTGTGCTTTCGGGCCCATTTGCATTGTATTGAAGGAATTCCATCGTGTTAATTTCTGGTTTATTTCCCCAAAATAATTTGGTCACCAAACCACAAAGTGTTACTCAGCTTTGTGCTTTCACATCACTTTATGGTGCGATTTATGTTTATGTTTTCGTGCATTTGTCTTCCGGGTATACCTGCAAAGCAGGTATACCATGTGAACGGAAGTTTCCTCTTAACGCTATATAACTATCTTAATCTAGAAGAGATTGAGATCAGTCAGTTTTTTGGCTGATATTTGAAGAAAGGATGCGGTAACAGTTTTTGTTGACTATTTATGTTCTGATGTTTGTCAATCGACCGTGAAGTTGTATGGGTTTCATTTGGAAACTTCGTGTCTCCTAGACGATATTTTTGTAAAAATGATAAAACTGATGAGGCAGTAAAAAGTTTGTAAATCTATAGCATTGTTGTTCAGCACATCGGTCAAATCGCGCCTGGTGTTAATGTTGAGATAGGTGAAAAATTGCGCGGTTGGTAGGTGCTTAAAAACGGCCTAGTTTTTTAATTTGTGTGGCGTTATTCTCCCTACTTTGCTTGTACCAATATCGTTCCTAATTACCTTTTAATCTCAGCTGCGATAATCAGTCCGTAGTAATTTTCGGTCTCATCTTTTTCTCATCCGTCTCGCTTGAATGAATTAGGCATACGAATACTTAGATTACATACCCTGTTTACGTTCGGCGTGACAACTTGTACTGATTTCTGCACAAACTTCGCTGTGTCCACTGCGTTGTCTTGAGCAATATTTCACTTAGAATATTTTGTTATCTTTACTTCCGGTATTCTTCGCCTCGGTTTTAATTATTCCCCTAGATATCTAGCAGTCGCGTCATTTAAAGCCTCACGCTTGCTCGCTGTTTTGCGTTAGTCATCGCACACTGGTACCACTTATAGCCTTATTCTTAGAAGTTGACTGGGCTTTTCAAACGGTGACTTTTTATTAAAACAATTGGATTTGAGTTAAAGATTTCGACCCTTTTTCAGTAGCATTTGTCACTGGGAAATAGCCTAACTTTCAATTAATTGATTTGGTGGACGTTAAGATTTGCGTACGGTAGGTGCTGTCTGGCTTTGTACAAAAGTTCTGTCAAGCTTTGTTACCTCTATACCTTTTTTGGATGTTGGCGCCAAGTCACTTGTTTGCGAAGTCGAGATTCATCTGTTCTGACAGTGATTTCAAGCTGCCTCCGTCTTCGAAATATCTGTAAAATTTTGGCTTTGGATTAAAGCTTGTCTTCTATTGCGGCCTGGGCTATTATATTGTGCACTCTGTGAACGCCAATATTTGATCTACTCTGGACCTATCCCCATGCATCACGTTCATTTTCGTTAATGAGACTGACTCATCAAATTTGGTCCCCTTTAATGATCGTTTTTGTCATATTACCCATTTTATTCACGCAGTGATGCGTATAGTGGTGATTTTCTTTACACGGAAAAGTGCGACATGCTAACTTCACTTTCGCGAGAGAGCTTTTGTAGCTTAAACTTACGATACCACTGAATTTGAAGAATTTGACGGACTGATGCTTCTTACGAATTCCGGGCAGCGCTAAACTCTGCACACTCATTACTACGAAGAAATGTTTGCTAGTCTGGTCTTCAGACTTTCATCATCTGGAGTATTATGGTTTTCAATTCTTTTCCATCACTGTGCGTGGTAATCCATCTCCATTGTGACGGTAAAGTGCTTTTTTGAATCCTGTCCGTTTTCAATGTACCTAACGGTGGCAGGTGTGCGCGTCATAGTTCACCGTTTGGATTCTTTGGATGTAAGCGATGATTATCAGAACTCGTCGCAATCTGTTGAAAAGAACCAAAGTGTGTGGATGGGTAACAGGGATATCTACGTTAGTTCTTCAGTATGTAGGTATTCATCGAACTCTAGAGCATGCATGCGCTGACTTATTTTGAAAACCTCCCATAGAACCTCCTTTTAGTCTGCTGGGACGTTATCTTCTCTGATGTTTCCTTGTTATCTTGTCCGCTTGTCGAACGTCTTTATATTGCTTAACTTTGACGAACACTTTGACTTGAATGAAAGTTTAGTGTGAAGGTATGCATTTCTCGGATCTGATCTTTTCGTGCACGTGGACTCTTCTTAGAACGGTGTAGAAACCTCCTCTTTTCATGTACGCCTAGTTCTGTATACATGTCTCGGTTTTCAACTTGACGCGAAGCCACACCTTGTCCAAATCATCAGCCCCACATTACACATCTCGCATTCAACCCGCACACGTGCATGAAAACGACCACGCAATTTGGCTCCGCTGATGGGTTGATGCAGGCGCACGCGTAGGCGTTCCCGGTGCGCTGAGTCACATCAACGTGCGCATGTGCGTGTCGGGTATTTGGCCCCGCCACTACTACGACTGTCGTCCCCTTTCTTCTGCGGGCGTCTTGTGGGCGAATGAGCCGTTTGTGGGCAAGCTCCGTTTTGTGTACACGCACGTAGGTATGCGGGAGGCTGAGACGTGAATCGGCCATTTTGCATGAATTCCTCACTTTTTTACTCACTTGCGCCATCCATCGGTGGGCTCGAGTACAGCTTAAGAAAACTGATGCAGTAACTATAATCATGTATGCTCTGGACATACATCTTGTTTGATTACTTGGAGAGGCAGAAGATATTAGAGCCAGAGCTATTACCACTCCATATGGCCGCGTATTCTCCTCTCGTAGCAAATTCGATCTTCATTAAGTGCATAGAATCCCCATTCGCCTAATTGCACCATCTACTTTATGCCCACTTTTTCTTACTTTCTTGGAGCATCCGTGTTGTTTAATCAGACCAGGTTCTGCTGCATGCGACAGTGCTATCTTCCTGCGGTAATTTCTTCATCCAGTCTTGAGTCGTTTTAAAAACGTCACCATGTTAATAAATGTAAGGAATTAGCCTTTCACGTCTCGGTCATTATCCTTGTTGCGAAATTCACTTTGGACCAGTATTGTAAATATCATGCGGCATTCACACTTAGCATTTGTGCTAAATATGTGGCGCTGATTTTTCTGTGACCTTTCTTACGTTCCTTATTTACGTAGATAAAGTAGGTTCTCAAACTAAGCACTCTGAGTACGTATAGGGTGAGGTAATGGTAAATGCAGTAAATGGGTTGCTCCTGCGGATTCTAAAATGGTATTTGGCTATGTGTGCGATGGTGTTAATTGTCGCTGCTTTTAAATGCATAAACTCTGTTCATGCTGAATTAGATTTTGCCTTGATGCTTATATAATTTGATTTCATCATAAGGTGAAAGTGAAATCGCAATTCTATTGGATTCGGATAAACCACTTGTTGTCAACCTGACTATAATGTGAAACAGTCTGGCATGATAATGTTGATCTCGCGTACATGGTTTTATGTCATCTGGAGTGCTTGGTCCAACAGCGTAATATTCTGAGCTGAACACAATTCAATCACATACAATGCTTATTTGACAGTTTGGAAAGGCACTTTAATTCATTTGAACCCTTAAGTTGTACGCACAACGGTGTGCGAACACAGCATTGTTCAGATCTGCGTTCCTTATTCTTGTCACTTCATATTTCTTCGTCATCTGACGTCTAGCTTCAATTAGTCGTAGTCTTTAAACCCAAAAGCGACTCGCAAGATGTCTCTTGCCATTTGGAGAGGAAGCACTTGGCGGTTTAAATTTTGTATTCCCTCCGTGTCGCGCTTGCTATTGACACGGCCCTCTCTATCTTAAAGTGCCATTGCTATTTGCGGGGCACCTCATAACATTTAAGTTTATGATATCACATCGTCCGTGCAACGAGTGAGTTTAAGTTATTTCAACCTGGTTCACGAGGATAATGTTTTGCAAAACCAAAGTACGTTCATTCCTCACAGCGTCACCCCATTGTCTGAGCGTCGGTCTAAAAGCCTGTGACGGAGACTTCCCCTGAGGGTGATTTTTGTTTATTTTCGGAATATTAACATACAATTCTTCCAAAAAGTGTGCTTACATTAGCATCCTTAAAGTTGCCTTTCATTTCCTCCTCCGAAGTAATAATACTATTGACGCTTTTGCTCTGTATTTGCATGTGTTGGAATGTTATTTTACTCTCTTTTGTGTGCCTACTTTTTCGGGGAAAGTGATTCTTTCATGTCATAGTCTTCTTAGGCGTATTCAATATTGGAAGAGGTAAACAAGTAAGTCGCACATTAACTGGATATAATAAACCGTGAAGTTTATCAGTGCTAATCGCTATAGGCCTCAAATCACCGCTTACTCGTCACTCTGCGTAACCTTTGATACTGCCGTGACAATGTGGTTGCGTTCAAGGGCGTAGGTCAAAATTGGCACGTTAAGGTTGTTGCCAATGTTTCCACAATGTGTTTACCTTATGCGCATTTTTATTTAGCGTCATCCACACTCGCGCACGTAGTAAGGTACTGTGGCGAACCATGTACGCTTTTGTACACCACACACAGCCATGTGACGTGATTTGTTTACGCTCTCTTGTGAGTTCTCGTATTCCAGCACTTTTTTACCTCGATGCAACAACTGGGTGTAGTGGGGTTTTTTGTGCTAAAAGTGCCCTAATTTCTTGACGCAGCCAGCAGTCTTTACGACGTCCGCCAAATTCTGCTTTGTAAAGTGGCGTTTAGTGATTTTACCTCTGCTCACAGACACTTGGAATGACGTGATGGTAATCTGGCTCATGCCGTAGACAAGAATCATTGGGTTGTTAAATCCGCTGATCAGACGATTGATTACTGTAAATCTTAGTTATTTTTCAGCAGCTGTTGATCTATTGTGCTGTGCTGGTCGCACAGTCTGATTTTAGCATGGCACCCAATAGTTATCTTATGGCCTATATTTGGCTTTCCAACTCGCTCTTAGTGCTGAAGTTCAGAACTCCCACTTTTCCCTATTTCAATCGTTGTAGCTACTTTTGAAAAGGTAATCTTAAGAAGTAAACTACGTTATTTGCAATGATTATGGAAATAGGTTCACTTCCTCGGTTCCATGGATGTTTTCTTGCGAATAGAGATACGGTACGAAGCATTGTCCTTGGGCATGGTCTTGGCTACTGAAGACACCTCGAACGTGACGCTTTTTATGTTGATTCGCTAACACGAAACAGTGATTGGAATGCTTCGTGCCCTTAATTAATATATCATTCGGGCGCTTGATATCGTCTGTCCCGTTCTGGTGCAGGATCAGTGGACTGCGTCGACACTTGTTATGGCTGGGAAGTTCTGTGTTTGTGTGACCTGGATCTTATCGGGCCCCAACCAGCTAATGAATGATTAAAGACTTCATAGCAAATGACTTTATCTACCGACGTTTGAAAGCAGGAGGAAGTACGATCAGTGCGTACGTGCCTGAGAGGCGAGTACTGGAGACCCTCAGAGTGTAGGTCTGAGGCCGAGTGTTCAGTCAGTGACTTCATTTACGTGTAGTTATAGTAACTGTTTGACCTTGGTCTTCAAGCGCTTATCATTACACTTCAAGTACATCCCTGCTTGATATGAACCAATTAGGAGGAAGCGAGCAGGATTGCATCTTTTTGGGAATGTTCCGAAATTAGTCATCCATTGGAACCTCTGGGAAATTGAATTTTGTGGTGTTGGTCAAATAGCCGGTGAGGACTGCACTTAGGTTGCTTCTTATTTCACATGGTTAGGGCCGCAGTAAATGCAGTCGGCAATTTCATTTTAATAAATTTGGATGAAGAGGTGCCTTCAAGTTCCGGGATGTTCCACATCAGTAATTAACATGGGGATCGCGTTCAGACCGCTGTTCAGGTTTATAAGCATGGAAGCTCATTTTTCTGCTTCCACGTATTATCAGAATGGGCTTCATACCAGCTTTGTAGGTCTACAGTTTTTGGCCCAATCGTCTCTGCACGCGAAGTCGATTTTTGTTCGTAGCCTAGGGGTGCGTATTACTTTGATCCGCTTTGCTTTTCGCCTTAGCTATGACTCCACAAAATAGCAGTGAAAATTTGTTGAACTTGTTTATAAAGTCAGAGAGAGCTGTTGTTATTACTTATACACAATTCTGACTTCGTGGTGAACTAGTACTACCGAGCATGAATTCTTGGAATTCCCTGCTTCTACTTTCTTTTTGAGACCGTGACAGGTGTACCATTATGTTATTTGAATCATCTAGATTTTCAACATTCCGTCAAAATCCTAACCATAATTACTTGACTAACGTTTTGACGATAGTTTAGGGTCGGTGCACCAGTGATTCCCTCCGGAAGAGGAGTATGGATGTAATGCAAAAATATGTTTCGTCCTCTCTAAAACTAGCAATTCAATGGCTTGGCCAAACGTTTTGCCAATATTCCAAACATACAATGAACACACTAAATTGCATAAAATTAGGTCAAATATGCGATTCGATTCTGCAGTTAAATGCGATTACTTGGCGCCTTTTCATTAATTCCTTTTTTGGTGTAATTATCGGGGTTGCAGTCCTGCCTTTAGCCCAAATTCTGAATAAATAGTTTGACATACTTCAATTCAAGGTTATCTGTCTTATGAGCTTAGGAGGGCACAATCTCCGTTTTTGAATTGAGATTTTTATTGTACTGAAAGGCTAAGAATCGTGCTAGAAGTCTGCCACGTTCAAAGACAGCACTTGAAGCGTTGTTTTGTTCTTTTTAACTTAACGTTATGTCATGATATATTTTCCCAATTTCCGATCGAGAGAAAATATTTCTTTTAACTAAGAAATACCGTAGGAACTGGGTTTGCTGAACGGGGAAAACTGCCATGTACTAATAACCTTTACCTATTTTTCTTGCTTAGATTGAAAGTTTTGCTTAAAATTTATCCCTTGAAAGTGCGCAGCTAAGCCAATAATAACTGCGACAATGCAAAAAAGCAAGGATGTACTTTTCGAGGACCTATTGTAGTAGACGCCACTTTATTTGCCACCTTTAGCTACCTCAATCAACCCAATTGTAACCATGGCTAGTAGATGGCCTAACAACTTTAAGAAGTGGAAATAACCCTATTCACAGGTGATGGCAGGGTACTTGCCTTGCCGCAGAACACACAACACCTGGTTTTCTACCATTCAGCGGAAACATTTCCCCAACATTCCTATCCATTGGATTTGTCTGTAACGTTGTCATTCCTGACGTCTAGTTCCTGTTTCTGAGATCTCGATTTCTTGTTGTATTTTATTTCCACTCTTATAATCATCGAGTGACTCTTTTCGCCTACAAAATCTCATTTTAAATGCGTTATATTCAATGGAGTTCTTTGTTAGAGTTTGCGCACTTGCATCCATGTCATTGTGCAAAAGCTACTCTTTTCTATCATCTTTCACCATTTAAGAGCATGTGATTAATACGATCAGAATTAGATCTTCATGTTTATCAGTTGGAATGTCTTGGAGTCAAAATTATAGTACCACCTCATCATCTGAAGTTAGGCATACTTTTGCCTATAATAGAAGCCAAACAGCTTGAATTTTGAACCGCATACGATTCACATCAAGTACGAAGTTAGTAATGCCGGTTGATGTTAGTTGAGTCTGGCTCATTTATAAAACATCTTGCGGTTAATCTGCGAACATTTTGATCATGGTTTCCCGTGCGTAGTAGTGCCACGACCAGCGAATCAGGCTACGAGTGAACAGGCCCCCAAGTCTTCAAATCAATGTCAGTATGCCTGTGGATAATTTGCTTGCCGATCTCTGCGTTTTGGTCTCCGTGATACCCGAGGCCCCTTGAAGTTTCTCTGACTTCCCCCCCCGAGCGCCGTCTGTCACGGTTTTGGGATATTGTAAATTAAAGCCTCCGGCTTATCCTTTTGCCAACGCACTTACCAAAAGCTGCCATTTATTGCCGTTGGAAGTAGTATCCAAACTTTCAATAAAACAGCGCAATTCACTATTACTTTTAAACCCTCTTTTTGTAAACTGGGAAAGGGCTTATGTTAAGCACGTCGCTTTGGTTGGTTATGGTTTTTTTCACTTCCACAATAACTAGTTCCCAAACAAGTCATTCCACTGGATTGGTTAATTCTCCCACGAAAAACCAAGACATTATTATGTTAAAAAGGGGCATCAATAAAAGTCCAAAGTCTCGAATGTCTTAATTTATTGACGAGGCTCGATTTAATGTGTTCTTAGGCTTGATACCATCTAATTGTGGTATTTATTTATCGACAGTATTCGAAGCATGATTGAATTTATTTTCTTTTGGGGCCATGAGGGTTCGGCCAAGATCGGCGATTATAAAGCCGAGAAAATTGATCAGTTAAACAGGACCGCCGCATCGTATCGCATCAGGCGAGCGTGAAGTTTGTGGAAGTGTACCTTCAGAAGGTATTTCTGACAGATGCCATGCCCTTAACGCCATTATTCACGGTGGTATTAGTTTTGAAGTAAACATGTGGGGTTTTGTTAATACCACGTATGCTTTGGATGAAGCACTGACAACATTTTGGTTGCAGTAATTTTTAACATCTGCGCAAGTATTTGCACAACTATTCTTTGTTTTCTGGGCTGTTCTGATGAACGGAGTAAGGTGGTAATACTCTCGGCCGTTGGAGGTGTGTACATGATCCTCAGGTCGCCCCATTTGCTGTGACATCTTGACGATCACCGAGGTTTAGTGACAATGCGTCATCCCCTTGACTCTTCACCTAAAGATGCAATTGTCAATACGTCTCCAATGTTAGGCTGAATGCTGGTGAATTTTGTTAAGGCATTTTTGAGAATAATTTCTCACTTTTACCACACACCCTTAAACTTGTTGACACTATGTGGGCGTACTTATGACTGACGGTTGCTTCAAGTAGCTGCAACGAAGTGTGGACGTGGAATATATCCCTCAGAGTGTGGAGTTGTTGTTTGAGGGCTATTGACAACTCCTTAGAGGTTAGTTATCCTAAAATCATATTTCTAATTTTCCCCCTTGAAAGCATCGTTCAAGCCGTTCCAAATGTCTTTATTTGACAAATCTACTTTATTGTGAGTTTCCAATCTAATTCAGTTTGAGGTAGCCGTGATAGGGTGTCATCTCTTCTGATTTTGTTAAATATTCATTAAATCTGGTTTTTCTATTGCTACTTCACCACCTTGATGAAGTCTACAGTTCTCAATTTACAAGGAATTTTATCGCATTAGATCTCCAATCCGCATATTCATTTTTGTAAACAGAATATTTTCCACCTTTGCTTTGTTAATCATAAAAATTTCCCAATTAATTTTGCTTTTTGTGCATTGCCTACTTATATCTATTTAGTAGCAATAATCGTATGTAAGAGTCTTTTTACAGCGATGAAACCGCATGAGATCCAGGAGAAGCTGCGACTTACCCAATTCCAAGCGGGTCGCGTGTGGTACGTACAGCCCTCCAATGCAACAACAGGTGAGGGTCTGAAGGAGGGCCTGACCTGGCTCAGTAGGAACCGAAAGCGATAAACTTGCTCTCTCCACCTCTGTGATGCCCCCTTTGGATTCTCCTTATCTCGCCACACCCACTGCTGTCATCTCACCATCATTGCCACCCCCGAATCTCATCCTTGTGTAATTTAATAAAGCAGCCAAGTGGTTTCTCCTTCGGAGTCTGATTTCATTTCCTTTTACCTCTTCACATACAAATACGGCCCCACCCACAACACTCATCGCTTATACGACCTTCTATTGAATCCATACATTTGTTTCGGATTGACCTCGTTTGCGTTTGAATCACGCTCTCTCCCTCCTTGTATACTCCACGTTTCTCTCCTCTCATACTCGTTTACTGCCACCACCACCAAAATAACATCATCTTATAAATGTGCGTGCGTTTCTGTACACTGTATATTTTATGTATGTATGGTTTCATTACCTCTGTTCGTCCAGCTACATTACTGTTGCCAATTCTGTGGCAGGTTATAGGTTGTTTGCATAAAAAGCTGTGCTTTGAAATACCTTTTTCTTAATTCTTTTTCGGGTCTCGTTTTCACAATGTGATTTTTGACGAAATTGGCGGGATCTTTCTTAGTAGGCACTACGATGGTAGTAATAGTCTTCGCCTCGGAAATACGGCTTCAGTCTTTACGATTGTTTAAGGACCCTAAATGGCTAAAACACGGAGCCATTCGCCATGCGTCTTCGTCACTTGCTCACAGATTGTGAGGCTGGGCATTACAACTCTTTTGTCAAGTGCAGGATTGAGATGAATTCCCCCCTGTGGTGTGATTCAAGCAGATCTGAGTTACGTTATGGTTTGAGTTGTCTAGAGGCTCGCTATTTCAACACTGCAAACGGTACATCTGGGTAGTCAGTTGATGCTCGAAGGAAAATTAGTATTTCTTGGCTTTCTTTGCCAGCGATGCTCCATTTATCACTATTTGATAGGCACATTAGAAAGTTACATAGTCGAAGCAATACAGGTGGAACGGTTGAAGTCGTTACAAAGTGCATCCAAAATGAATTGCGGTAATCGGAGGGATGCAACCCTTGTTTTATCTTCTTGAAGGTGATGGACGAATTTCGAAACCGAGAGAGAAAACTTTTAAGACATGCAGAACAATGCTTGAACATGAATAAAGCGGAGCAGCATTCGCTCAACCCGAGAATTGCAGACCTGGGTCCTCAGACGAGGTGTTTTTAAATGCCTGATTGAGGACTGAAGATTTCTGTTCGTAACTAAACAGTTTGTTGTAAGTTGAGTTTCTTCGTGTAATTCTCAAAATGGGAATATGAAACTGAAACTTCTTGGTAAATTTATGCAATTAACGTATCATATCGGGTGGTAGCAAGCATAAGGAGTTGCGCAAACTGTATATTACGTAAATGCACCACTGCCATCTTATGTGTCTGAGAGATGTGATCGAGAGGAAGGGTTATTTTGTCGGTACGTAGGGGTAATAAACCACTCAAGTGTAGGGAGGGTACGGAACTAGAAATTGCGCATAACATTTAGAGAACTTGTCACATTCAAATTCGAGTTGTTACTTCCTTCGGCCTCGTTCTCACTAAATATCATTAGTACGGTTAAGAGGGAAATATCCACCGTAAATTATGTACACTCTACTCATTTTTGTTAAAAAATAGGTAGCAGAAACTACATAAATAAATGCGCCGCAGTCTTTTCCTAATGGATTGATTTTAGCTATCCCTATTTCTCGATGAATACAATTAACTTCTATAGAAATCTTGAAACACCTCGATAGGTTAAGAAGTAGATATGTTTCCTAACACCTCTATTTTCCAAAGTTCTGCTACTTCTCCTCCTCGCCAGTGATCTTGTATCTAGCCTAAATCCCAATTTTGGGACCACATTTTGCAGTCAATCCAAAAACTGTTGCATTTTCGAATAACACTCACTAATGTAACCATACATCATCGTGGCTTGCCTTTATAACGATAGCGTAACCCTTACACATGATATCAATCACTGCGCGAAGGAGCCTTCCTGACGCTTCACTGGGTGAATGGACATTTATGCGAAGTGAATGCAGAATTGAAGCCCCAATCAAGACCTGCTAAAAACAGGGTTTAAGGTCTGTTTATTCATTTTGAAGTGTCGATAGAATCGGAAGGGCACAAATTAACTCTACAACTCCATACCCATGAGACATGCATTCAACGATCTTACAGTCTACAAACAAACTCATTCGGTTTGTTACCACAAAAATAAATTGATATACTCGATCCGCTGCTCACTAGCTGCGGCTTCTTCTACTGGAGACTAAATACTACCATTACTCCTTGAAATCCTAATCCATTTCAAAAGATCGTTTTGTAGTTATGTGTCAAGAGATGGAAATTAGGGAGAATATATTTATATCGGAGAGGATATAGATCTTTTTTCAGAAAGGAGGTAGTTATTTAGTTTAAAAAAGTGCTTTAAACGATAAACGCGTCCTTAAGTGGTGGCTAACAGGGGTGCACGTAACGGTCGGAAACGTCTGTCCTCACGGCACTTCTATTTTTAAGGTAGTCTGAATGCGTGGGCGAAATCAACGTGGCTTCTGACAATGGATTCTACTTTTGTTTGTATGCTGATTTCTTAAAGTCCACCATTAAAAGTCTATTGGATTAATAATACCCTAGGGGGCAGAGACTGTTTTAGACGTGAAATAGATATTATAAATATAAAGTGTTCGGAAAAATAACAATTCTAAGTTCGCGAGTGTTTAGTACATTAAAGTGAAGAAATTGGGAAAAAACCATGAATGTACAAAGAAAAGCTGATTTATTACAAATAATCATATCTAAGGTTAACGAAAATCTTCCTCGAGTTGTGAAACATCTTCTGTTAAATTGCAGCAGAATTTTCCCAAGATTCGCAAAAATTACTTTAATGATTTACTAATAAACTTATGAAAGCCAGAAGGCGGTAGCGATCATCAATCAGATTAGGAGAAATTTAGCATCTTAATGTGTACTAATTATGTTTTACTATAGGTGATTGGGCCATTCTAAAGAGAATGTGTATTCTCTGGTATTTATAAACGTCAAATTGATAGAGTGTTGGGCCTTTGTGCGACGGCGGTTTTAATAACCACAACTTTATTTTGAATTATAACGTTATTTGTAGAGGAAAATAGACCCTCATGTAGAAACTGAATTCAAAACTTGTAATTGGCATTAAACATAATAAAATAGAAATCGCCTATGGGGAAATGGATGTAGTGCTCGCATGCCACCATATAAGCAAAAGATTCAATATTTTAAAAATTAGTCTATCAACTCCCCACTGCAAAGGACAGGAGATGGAACACCAAGTACTCATTTTCTCAATGAGGAATAGCGTTTTGGGCAGTTGTGGAAATTGAAATGAAAGTCTTTCATCAAAGCAGGTGCAAGAGAAGTAATAATAGTTGTTTAAAGAAATGAGATGAGGTTTGAGCCCATTTAATGCGCATAAAACATTACCGCGATAGGTATACGTTTTCTCCAGTGTTCAGATACGTGTATGCCTTTCGGTCACTCGTGTGCGTGGGCGCCTGGCGGCGTGGGTGGAGGAGGCTTCCTAGCCAAGTTTTTTGTTCCTTCACAATTTATATTGGTCGGGGTGAATGATACGTTATCACTCATTTCGTTACAGCAGAGCCTTCCACTCCACTCCGTTCCTTGTCTATAGAGAGTCTGCAAATTGAGATCATTCTCCCCATTAGATCCGATCTGATTTCGCTCACGGCGACGTTTGCTTAACAGTTTCCCTCAACGGCCTCCTTCATGCTTGCCAAATACTAGCCTCTATCAAGACGGTTCGCATAATTTTCAATGCGGGAACTCCTAACCATCCAGTTTGAGCTTCTCATGAGCCTTACTAGTTTTGGAGGTAGTAAATGGCCGCATGAATTGAAGGTGGCATTTTAACCCACCAGAACAATGCTACTACTAAGGATGCGTAAATGTACGCACTGGAATAAATAGAGAATAGTAAGTCCCATTACATAAGTTTATTTACCATATCTAATTATCATCAACGTTTGTACAATGCACACTGCGAACACGCCAAAACAAACCATTTTCGAGGGATTAAGTTTGCTGAACTTTTTATGCACAGTTGGTTCCTCCTCAGGAGAAGCATCAGCGCTGGTCTTGACTTAGTCCCGAAAATTTAGGATAGCTCGGACGACTAGAGGGGAATTTGGACCGACGTCGAAAGGCACGTGAGTCTTCAGGGGTGCCTTCAACCGGTCACATCACGAGTTTGGTCTATCAGTCTATTTTTATGAGGTTAAATGAATGTTGTATTTTTAGCTCAAAAGATAATTCGCAGGATGCTATAATTTTATAGTCCGCTCATGATGTAAAATACCTTTTGTAGAGTCCTTAAACAAGCATTTTCGCTTTTGAGATTAAGAAATTTATGCACAACCTACAATACTTGTCCCATCGACCAAATCACCAAGTCGACGGATTCGTAAAGTTTAGCATCAAGAGTCGATTCGAGTTCACTTCCAGCCCTACAAAAGAGGGCTCATTTAGTTTCAAAGTAAACTTTACACTTCATCATTTGCTTTCTCTAGACATTTAGAGTGAAATTAGATAATCATTTTAAATCAGTTTTAAGTGTGTCTCCATAAAGATGAACTTATTATCCATTCTACCGTCTGACCACACTGGTATTATTATTTTAAATCACTTGTTTAATGTTGTAAAGGCAAGAAATTAGAAGACTTCAAATGCATCGAAAAGGCATGCATCCATCAACCCTCATCCGTTGACTCCGTATGGCTTTAACCCTCCCATTTGAAGGAGTGCTACAAAAGTAGGGCCCAATTTCGAGACTTGAGGCTTGGCTTTGTGGAGTTTTGCTCCTCAAGGTGTCACTTTTTAAATGCCTAAATTCGACTTTGCTAGAAGCTTATTTCAAGCTCACAATGATTTCAGTTTATGTCGTTTCATAACTTACGTTAATTATCCCTCTACAATCAAAAATTTTTAGTATCTAGGACCAGGTTCCCTTGAGACTGGAATATACTGTATTTATCATTACGAGTATGCGGATGGGTAGTCTACGAGGTACTGAGGGGTGGAAGTAGCAGTGATTACCATTTGAAAGCTCATCTTAACCCGACTTTTCTGCTTCCGCATCGAATAAAATCCTTACTCGTTGAGTGAAATGGAGTTGTTGAGTCTTATACATTCACTAGCATTTACTCGACTTTTGACTCAATCATCTGCCTATGAAATTGTTTACTTGTCCCTTCGCTCAATATGTTATTGAAAGCTAAAGTGGATGATAAGCTAAGATCTACTTAACGCATGTGCTCAAATCCGTCCTGCATGACCTAATACAAGTTTTGAATGAAACAAAAACATTCCAGAATGAACAGATCCAAAGTGGAACCATTGAAGTGGTTTTGAGGAGAGTTGGAATTGTGCCGAAGAGCTTACATTTTTCACAAAGAGAGCTCAATGCTTGCCATCGGAGTTGTAAATGACTAATGGATTGGGGCAAAGTATTTTAACAACCCCCAGTTTTTCGCCTATTATTTTGGGCTACATGGGAGTGAGGGTTTCAGAATCGGTTCCGACAGTTTGCGGAAGCAATGGATGTGGAGAAAGCGACCACGTCACTCAGTATAGTGGGTCACGTGCACGTGTTGGCGCTGAGAGGTTAAACGCCAAATTCGTGGGCTCGCTTCCACAACATGTGGGTGCGGGGAGTGGGTGTCTTTCAATCTGACAACGAAGTCGTATCAATGCAAATTTCATTCTTGAGCATCATTTAAGAGGATTGCATATTTCGTGACTCTTTTGTAGCAATGCTTCAATCTTGCCAACGTGACACCGTGTAAATGTTGAGTATCTGGTGCTCCTAAGTCCGGAAATTTGTGGAGCAGATGAAGCTATTTGATTGACCTGTTCTTATGCCAAAGATATGATTATAAACAATGAAGATTCTTCATTGTGAAGAGCATTTGGTGTCCTCGTGATCATTTATTCCACACTAAAGAATGTGTTTCTATAAGGTTTCAAAATTTCAAAACTACTGATTCTTTGTATATGAAATCATCATTGCTGCAAATGCTTAAGATTTTTAATGGATAAAAGAGCGGATCGTGATCCAACAAAGAGTAGAGGACCGATTTCACAAAGTGAAGCTTAATTGTCCTTTGAGAGTGCAAAAGGTGAGTCAATGTTATTTTGCTTTGAAGTGAAATACTGTTTTTCCACTCATACAACGGAATAGATGAGAGGCCAACGGCAGACACCCGTGTTACGTGAGAGTTTCGTAGTAAGGGGAAAGGTAATAAGCACTTTGGTAATGTAGAATAATTGTGTCTGAACACTGCGTCGCAGTGCATCCGAAAGCTTCTATTTATTACTTTTGTCAGTACAACAGTTGCTATTTTAAAGGTTACGTTTTTAGCTAGCATTAGCTCTAATGCGACGGGCGAATGAAGGCAGAAAAAGGCGCAGTCCTCGAAGTATCCATCCACAAACGTCAGTTTGTGAGATACAGAATTCTCACTACTCTTGAAAGATTAATTTATTAGTTCGTCGACTGTAATTCTGGGGGAAAGGCGTCGGGAATGGTTAAGCACACTTTCAGCAGGAATTCATTTATTCAGCAAACTGTTTTCTTATCTAAGCAACGTTAATTCAGTGTGAATTTACACTTTTTTGCAATCTATGAAAGGGGCGTTGACGATGTTCGCGCGACAATTTCGTAGAAGGTAAGCGGAAATTCGGTAGAAACGACATTACGAGGCCACGCGATGTCACGCATTGTAAATGATAAAAATGCTACCAGTTTAGCCGGTTAGAATGGATGTGTGATGCGCAAGATCAGGGGAAGGTACTCACTAGCACCCAGATTTCTAAGAACTGCGATTGTCGAACTCCTCACTACCTTCGTAATGGTATATACTTGGAAAAATCAGGATTTGTGCTTAATATTTAGTTAATTACGATTAAAATGGTTGGCGATTACACTTAAGGCGTCTGTTTAACAACTCCACCAGTCCGAAAGCCGCCCAGAAAGTCTCCTGAATTACCGTTGATGGTCGTGTTGCGTTAGCGGACGACCTGATTTGTTGGTAGTTGGGTGCCTTTTAGCCACTTTGGAAAGCAACCCTTCAAGCGTACCAAACCTACCTGCTTATAAATTTGCATTATTTTGATTAAATTTTATAGCTATAAAGTTAACTACTACACG